GAGGGCAGAGGTGTGAAGAGTGAGAGAGAGCAGCAGCAGCACATGTAAAAGGAACACAAAGACACCACAGACACATGAATGCAGACAAGCGCACTGTGAGCCGGGAGCCTGGGCTGCGCAAGGAAGGAGCCTGGCTGCTCTCTGCAGCCCCGCCTGGCTCCTGCCCTGTGGGTGGAGGTGCCCTGCATGGCAGGCCCCTGTTGGGGCCCCATGAGTCAACAGCTAGCCATGCAGGGAAGAGCTGGGTGGGGAGCAGTGCGTGGAAGGGGGAAAGCCTGAAGACCCTGTCTTGGCCGTTGTCCCTGACAGTTGGGGCCCCAACATGCCTGCCAGGTGGCCCAGCCTCAGGGCAGGGCCTGGGCTGACAGCCTTGGAACCAGGGCTCTCCACCTGGCCCTTGGTCTTCAGGTTGGTATTTGGCCCACCAAGGCCTCCAGAGAGGATGAGGACAGGGTCAGGGGTGGCAGAGCCAGGATCCGGTCTATAAAGGGAGAAGCCTGAGCGAGGGGGGCATCTCCCATTGTTTCACCAGGGCGTAGGGGTGGATGGCCCCGGCCCTGGGACATCCCAGCTCCTGGCTCTGAAGCCACAGGCCATATCTGGAGAACACGGCCCAGAGGGGAGGTGACACGGTTCACCCAGATACTGCTGGAGGCAGGTGTGCTGGGGTCAGGGTGGGCCTAGTGTTGCAGCAGCTGCCAGAAGGGGGTGCTGTGCGCACTCGTGAGGCAAAGGCTCCTAGGGCTTGGAGGCAGCCGACTGAAGCCCTGGGAACCCAGTGTCCCTGCAGTACCTCCAAAGTCCTGCCTTCTGGTAGGGCAGGGGCAAGAGGTCACAGGGCCCTGAAGTTCCAGGGACCAGAAATGCGGAAGCCCAGGAAACCCAGAATGAGATACCATCCCAGATGTTACTTTTGCCCTGGGGGGACTCTTCAGAGCACATGCATAGACAGGGGAAAGGGCCAGAAATGGAACCAACACTGTGACCAAAGACCAAAACCCAGGGTGGGGGTGGACGGGAGAAGACAATCTTAAAGGGAGAATTACCTGAGAAGGTCCCCCTTGCTTGGGGACAGGACCATCATTTTCAAAGCCATCTGCCCTTAGTGGGCAAACATGGCCTTGTGTGACTGCCCTGTCAGAGCAGTCTTCATCCCTTTAAGATGGCAGAGAGGACCACACAGACGTGGTTAGCAGATGGAGGAGGGGGCAGGAGCCAGAAAAGGG